AGTGAAATCCAGGCCTCAGCTTGATCTGGAAGGAGAGTTTCTACTTGAGTCACGGGGCTGATTTCTCATTTCCTGCACTCAGCATTACCTGTGGATCAGGGTGGTGGGGAGCTGGGGAGGGCAGGGGACTCCCAGACACTCCTGATTCTTTCAGTCTTTGGGGTAAAGCAGTCTAGTAGCCCAAGTGCAGTCATCTGAAGAGAGTCTCAGGTAGAGTTGTTAGAAGCAAAGTATCCAGAGCAGATAAGGGAATAGGCAGTTATAACTCATCTTATATTTTAAGATTTACAAAGAATACGCTTTTAGAAGCCAGGCACATATTGGAGGTGGATAGGTGGATGATAGAGATGTAAAATTTAAAGCACTGATTTCTGACTTATCAACATTTTGAGTTTTTTACTATTCCTAATGTGAAGATAATTTTTCCAGATAATCCAGTAGTTCATAGTAGGTTATTTAAGATATGTAAAGTGTGTTGTAAATGTAAAGTATTAACACACATGTGGCACAAAGCAGTCTTGTTAAGTTGGCATCCCTTCAACTCCTCTCATGTGAGCTCATCCCCACATATAAGTGAGATAATCCTTTTTCTCAAGGAGTTGGCAGTTTATGACAATTAGATTAAAACCAATAAATGAGAGCAACGTGCACTCATTAGTAAAAAAAAATAGTAGTAGTATTTGGCGGCACTCAAATATGCAACCTCCTTTGAGATTCATGGTTATTCCTTTAAAAGGAGACCAGGTTACAAGTCGTGTGACTTGTGTCAAGCAGCATTCAAAGCCACAGAAGCATATACAGAGAAGGAGATAATTGGATTTAACCAGAGTTGGAAGTTAGCCAAGTGAGTCAATGGAGGAAAAAAAGGTTAAAGGAGTTAAATGTTTGCAAATAAATGATTATAGTGATTGGACCATGGAATCTAGTCTAAGTACAAAAAAATGGCAGTATTAATGAATTAGTTGGAGGTCTCGATGTAGTCAAGGAATTAGTGAAATAAGCCAAAGTTAATGCTCAAAAAGAAGGACATTTAAAATTGGAATTCAGCTGCTGACAAGGTCTTCCAAATGACAAGGTCAAGGATAAGACCTTGGGAGAAGATGGCTAGAGGAAACATTACTGATGCTGGGGAGGTCAAAGAAATAGATACTAGTATATTCAATAGATTATCAGTAGATATTAGATTGATAGATTATTAAGTAGATGCTAAAATTTTCAAGTAAAACCACAGGAGTAAGAGGGAAAATTTTCAAAGTTCTTTAGCCTCTTAATCAGATAAAAACACGGGGTAATAAAAACAAAGCAGACTCTGTGAGATGTCCTTAATTGATGAGCAATTAACTTCCACAACAGTGTTTGTTCACTTTGATACCTAGAATTAGCCATGATGATTATCCAAGTAACGAAACCATTTTGCTTTTATTTACACTTAACATTTATATACACAAAGACATGTATATCCATGGATATGTCCCTTAATAATTATTCAATGTCCCCAAGGATTACTAATCAAAAGCTTTAGGGTCATTGAAAAAAATAATTTTAAATTTATGCAGAGGGTAATAAAAATGTTCTTCACATTTTATTATAAATCAAGAAAATATCCTGAATTGGAGTCATTGATGTGTCTTTATCTACTTTGTTATTTTTGTGTAATTAATTGGCTGTATCCTATCTTGTTCCCAAAGGGTCTTCTGGTCACCTTTATTCCGAATATAGTAGCTCTCTCAGAATAGGTGGTAAAGGATATTGGGTGAAAGATAAATTCACAGAACACGGCTAACCTGGACATGGATTGAGCAGAGTGCATGTTCATTCAGCTGATAATGTAACCTCTTCTTACAATTACCTATATTCTCTAGTTATTTCTTATTAATCTTATACCTAACTAAGCAGCTTTAGGAGAGAATTTATATGTTCTATTATTTTTACAAAATACGATATATGTATTTGTGTGTTTGTTGCATCATATACTCTAACATATCTCAGTTAACTAGCTAGTTAGTCAAATTCATTTCGTAGCCATGAAATGGCAGTGGCACTCAGCAGAAGCTAGCAGGTTGAGGTGTATCATGGGAACCAGCCCCCAATATTTCAACGTAGGTTCTTTTCTATTTTCCCTAAGTGTTGACTGGTCTGAGAAATAAAGGGAAAGAGTACAAAAGAGGCAAATTTTAAAGCTGAGTGTCCCGGGGAGACATCACGTGTTGGCAGGTTCCGTGATGTCCCCCAAGCCACAAAACTGGCAAGTTTTTATTATGGATTTCAAAAGGGAGGGAGTGTATGAACAGGATGTGGGTCACAGAGATCACACGCTTCACAAGGCAATAAAATATCACAAGGTAAATGGAGGCAGAGTGAGATCACAGGACCAGGGGGAAATTAAAATTGCTAATGAAGTTTCATGTCCCACCGGGCATACATTGTCATTGATAACATATTAACAGGAGACAAGGTTTGAGAGCAGACAACCAGTCTGACTAAAATTTACTAGACAGAAATTTCCTCATCCTAATAGGCCTGGGGGTGCTACGGGAGACCAGGGCTTATTTCATCCCTTATCTACATTAATAATAAGACAGACATTCCCAGAGCGGCTATTTCAGAGTCCTCCCCCTAGGAATGCATTCTCTTTCTCAGGGCTGTTCCTTGCTGAGAAAAAGAATTCAGTGATATTTCTCCTATTCGCTTTGTAAGAAGAGAAATATGACTCTGTTCCACCCAGCTCCCAGGCAGCCAGACCTAATGGTTATCTCCCTAGTTCCCTGAACATCACTGTTATCCTATTCTTTTTTCAAGGTGTCCAGATTTCATGTTGTTCAAACACATATGCTCTATGAACAATTTGTGCAGTTAATGCAATCGTCACAGGGTCCTGAGGCGACATACATCCTCCCAATCATCACAGGGTCCTGAGGCGACATACATCCTCCTCAACTTACGAAGATGAAGGGATTAAGAGATTAAAGTAAAGACAGACATAGGAAATCACAAGAATATTGACTGGGGAAGTGATAAATGTCCATGAAGTTTTCACAATTTATGTTCAGAGATTGTAGTAAAGACAGGCATAAGAAATTACAAAAGTATTAATTTGGGGAACTAATAAATGTCCATGAAATCTTCATAATTTATGTTCTTCTGTCACAGCTTCAGCAGGTCCCTCCATTTGGGGTTCCTGACTTCCCACAACAGAGGTGACTAAAGAATGGAGGATTTTGGATAGATGCCTTTTTACTGAGAGGAAATAGGGTGATTGAAAGAACCCTGGGATAAGGGATACACATCTTAGACTAGACCCCCCTTCCACCACTTCACTATAGGGATGGGGTGTTTTCAACTCAGTTTCCTCACTTATAAAACATGATCATATTTCTATTATTATAATTTAAATAATTAGAGAAAAAAGTTTTAAAAAGACCATTAAATACATATCATAGTATTCTTATTTAAGCATAAGGACATAATTGCTCCAAGATAACCAGTGTACTCTAGAGGGTAACTCAAAGATGATAAAAATTGCTTTAAATTTTGGCTTCTCTTATTTGTTTCTAAAACATCAGATTATGCTTTTAGTTTCCAAAAGACCCAGTGAGAAAATGTATGTATAAATCAGACATGAAATTAATACTAAAACTTTCTGACGTCAGTGATATCAGCAGACGAGGCTGGAAACCAGTTACTGAGCCTTCTTGCTACTTCAGAATAAGGTTAGACTCAGAAATAGGATTTGCTCTAAAGCAAGTAATAGAGGCAACTTCACCAACAGGCAAAGTAGGCAATTGCCTTGGAAAGAAGGCAGGCTTGTTGCAAATTACCTCCCCTACCCAAGTAATGAAGCACCTGGAATTCCTGAATTAAAGAGACCTTCCTTTGGGCAAAGAATTGTCTGAGTCTGGATTTTGAGATAGGATGGTTAAACAAAAAGTCATCTTCAGCTACAATTTTTCATGCAGATTAGTTTATTGGTTCACATCAACCTTTAAAGGGGGATGTGGAAAAAGGGTAGGAGAAATAGCCATTTCTGGGGCCAGGAGGCAAGTGGGAAGAGGAAGAATATGGAGCAAGGGAAATCGAATCTGAGGGCACTTTCCCTCCTGTATTTCACTTCATGAAGGCTCTGCAGTTAGCTGCCTGCATTATATAGTCTGTGCACTAAAGGGAATGAAAGGAGGAAGGTGGTAGGGAAGGAAGACAACAAGGAAAGAAGGTGGAGTTGGGAAAGGCTGATTTGGGAGAAATGAGGCTTCTGCTAGGCTAGACAAAGCACACTGCTCAAGTGTGTAACTCTGCAGGCTACATAACTTGCTGATTCCTCCAGCCTCATGGTGCCCTCTTCTTTCCTCATGGTGCCCTCTTCTTTCCTCACAGCCCTGGCCATGGCTCACTGTCTTTTTTTCCGTTCTTAGGGTAGATCTATCTCTTTCCCATCCTGGTCTTCTTCACATACACAGTTTTCTCTATATGGACGTTCTGCCATTCTAGCACCCACTCTTGCAGTCTCAGCTTCTGAGAGGCCTTCCCTGGGCCCCCATTTTCAATCTGGCCTCTAGATTATATTTGTTGATTAGGGATTTTCCAATACAGTCCTTTCAACAGTTTGCAATTGTTCATGTATTTGAATGATCACGTTTTTAATCTCTCTCTCCCTCTAGCTTAAGAGAAGCTCCATGAAGGCAGAGACCATATCAGTGTGTTTCATATTCTACATACCAAGGCCTATCAGAGTCACGTTGCAAAATCTCTTGAATTAGATAAACCAATCATTTGAGAACTTTAGTAACAGCATCACAGCATGTTTACTTTTGTTCTTTGGACTATGAAGAGTCACAGAATGGCTACGCTTATTACTGTCAAAATAGAAGGATTTGTGTATTGATAGGTTTGCAAACTCATCTGAAACACAAAAATGTATTATATCTGATTCACATGCTTAAACTGAAGAAATCTGAACAGGAAATTTGGATTGATGTATAACTCACAGTGGCTTGGTATTTCAGGTTGGAATTGTACAGTATGGAGAAAACGTGACCCATGAGTTCAACCTCAATAAGTATTCTTCCACTGAAGAGGTACTTGTTGCAGCAAAGAAAATAGTCCAGAGAGGTGGCCGCCAGACTATGACAGCTCTTGGAATAGACACAGCAAGGTATATGGATAAAAAAAATAAACTAAAGTAAAAGACTGCAAAAATAACTGCTCATGATTTAGCCCTTTGGCATATCAATTGAAAGTTTAATATGACAATATTTAAAGCCATTTTATTTAAAATGAGCTTCAGAAGATTAGATAATGGTTGCAAGATCAGATGTTTCTATAACACAATCTCACCATCCTTCTTATCCTTCTCTTCTTACAAGGGTTTAATTGATAGAGAATTCATTTTAAAATATCACTGCATCTATAACTTCATATTCTTGGATACTAAGACAATATTAGGTAATATTTGTTTTCATTTATTTTTTGTTTTCAGGCTCTAGGAGTTTTAATCTAAAAGAATGGATTAAAAATATGTCTACCTGTACTCAATATATATTTATATTCTAGATTGTCCATGTATTTTCAGTACTTGATTTACTGCTATTGAAGCTATCAGATAAGAGATTTTAAGGGGCCAAATTAAATATTGTCTATTTGAAATCATTTTTAGTGCAAAGATTGAAAGAAATGGAAAGGATCTTATCATTTGTAATGCTCTCTTTCTCCTTTTTTTCTTTCTTTAGATTCCCTTCAATTTACAATCCTTCCTTTCTTCCATCTGCAGTTTTCTTTATAGTGAACACATAACTCAGTCTGTGGTTGAATTTCATTTTATAAGAACCAACTGAATTGTCCTCTCTTACAAATGTAGAACACTTTATTTCCTGTATGTTCTCTTATCTCATTTGTTAAACTAGCAAACTTCTGAACAAATCCAAAACAATACAAAAATCACAGGAAATGTAATAAGTAATTTGACTAATGTTAAGAATCTTTCTGTTAAATGTCTTCAACTTCTGAACTCTCGCCTCAGGTGGAAAGCTAATTTTCCATGCTCTCATTTCATCTGCCTGCTAAGATGAGTGTTTTAAGGAGGTTAAAAAAGTTAATAATGATCCTGCGAAGAATGGGATTCAAAATTTTAAAATTTCATGTGCAGCTTTTGCCTCGTGAATGTTAGAAAGTCATGTGGTTCTAGTTATATGGGGCCCAAGAGAAAATAACCACAAACAGATGGAGGTAATTTGACATTTACCTAACTATTGGATCACCAATTTGCATACACAAAGAGTGCACATGTTTAGGTGTACTGAATGCACCCCCTTCAATAACTGATTAAATGTGACTGTGCATTTGAAGTAAGTCAAAGTGTTCTTTGAAACCTCTGAGCCTGTAGGGAGCTGTACATTTTCCAAAGGCAACCATTTAAGAATGAATACTCATCTTTGAAAACTAACTGAAGAAATATTCTGGCTGCTTTTGCTTCTGCATCAATACTGCTCTAAATACCATGTCCCTATATGTTTTTTGCCTCTGTGTTTCACAAAGGGTATAGCTGTGGGACACAGAATTGATTGAATGTTGATTATACATTAAAAGTCTGTAGTGACAGTACCAAGTATTTTTCTCCTACATTAATTACTTTTTCATGTTTAAGCACATTTTAATTGTTTTTTATCCCTTTCAGGCAGAGCCAGTTGCAAACAATATTTTTAATATTTTTAGAATTCTTTGCCTTCATTTTCAGTAACTCCCAGTTCAAATTTTCGTGTGTGTGTGTGTTCCCTTCTCCCTATCTTGAATTTTTACTTTTGTCAGTAAACTTACAGGATTTAATCATAAGGCCTGGATTCTCCTGTCTCAAAGAAAGGGACACTATTGCTATATTTTAATTTTTTAAAGCATGCAGGAAAGTCAGTGCTTAGTGCCAAGAAAGGACACTGGATACTGGTACTTTGAGGACAAGGACAATTTGTTAAGGAATGTAGTTGAAACAGAAACGGTGTACTCAGGAGTTCTGCCAATGGCTAATCTTCCATTACGTAAAGCCAGCCCTGATTTTAGAACAGCCACATTTTATTCATGAAAGGCTTCTTAATCATCTCCTTCAGCTGATGTTCATTGAGTTCAGTTGTAACCTTGATATTTAGGAGAATTAGGAAGTTTTAGTGATCTAAGGAATTTGAATTTCAAAAATGATTGAATCTTATATGATACTCAAATACAAAGATCTGTTAAAGACTAATGTGTAACATCTGTTTTCACCTTTGTTTGTATACATTAAAAATTCAGAAAATCAGCTGGGTGCGGTAGCTCATGCCTGTAATCCCAGCACTTTGGGAAGCCGAGGTGGCTGCATCACCTAAGGTCAGGGGTTTGAGACCAGCCTGGCCAACATGGTGAAACCCTGTCTCTACTAAAAATACCAAAAAAAAAAAAAAAAATTAACCGGGCGTGGTGGTGGCTGTAATCTCAGCCACTCAGGAGGTTGAGGCAGGAGAAGCACCTGAACCCGGGAGGCGGAGGCTGCAGTGAGCCGAGATCACGCCACTGCACTCCAGCCTGGGCAACAAGAGTGAAACTCTGCCTTAAAAAAAAAAAGAAAGAAAGAAAGAAAAAAGCCAGAAAATCTACTCGTATAGTATGTTAAAAATTATTCATGACATTTGTTAAAGATTGTAAGGAAGACATCACTCAAGAGGGACCTTTACAATGAAAGTATTGCAGTAGGGAAGAGAGATTGGGCTCAGCTTTGACTACAGTGAGGACAAGTGGGCATTTGTAGTCAAGGAGCAGGGCAGGGATTGGAGGAAACATCAAGGCTGGGGGATTCTTGCTAGACTGGCTCAACAGGATTCTTGCCGAAGGCAGATAAATAGCAGGAAAAATAAAACTGTTTTTCTTCTTCTATGCTCTCAACACTTGACATATCACTTCTGATGCCAGATGTGTGGATTTTTTCCACATTGACCAGTTATCTGACATCAGCTGAGTGTTCTAGAATTCAATTCAGTTCTGACACCAACTAGAGTTTGTGCAGACCTCCCACAGATTAAGGGCTCAGTCCTTCAAGAATTCCCTCCAATTTAGAGCCAGAAGGTTTCCAGGTTACCCACAATTTGTCTAATATGGCTACAAATTAGACTCCCTACTTGGGTTTGATTAGATGCTAAAGTGGATCACAGAACTCAGTAAAGCATCTTACTTACTATTATTAGTTTATTATAAAAGGATATAACTCAGGAACAGCAAGAGATACATAGTGCAAGCTATAAGGGAAAGGGGTCAGAGCTGCCATTCCCTCTCATGGTGTACCCCCTTCCACATGTTCAGCTACCTGGAAAACTTCTGAAACCCGTAGTTCAGAAAGTTTTACAGAGGCTTGATCATAGGCATGATTGATTATTAACTGAGTTTCTAGCCCCTCACTTCTTCCTGGAGAATGAGAGCTGGGGCTGAACATTTCAAGCTTCTGATCATGGCCTGGTCCTTCTGGTGACCAGCTCCCATTTAGGAGCCCACCAAGAGTTACTTCATTAGAACAAAAGATACTCCTATCACCCAGAAAATTCAACAGATTAGAATATCTACGTCAGAAACCCAGGTTAAAGGCCATATATTAGAACAAAAGATGCTCCTTGCACCAGTATTCCTCATCAAATTATAAGAGTTTTAGGAGTTCTGCACCAGAAACCAGAGGCAGAGAACCAAATACGTATTTATTATATGTTAAAGGAAAATTTTAGACAAATTAAATTTGACAGAGTTTATTTGAGCAAAGAATGATTCATGAATCAGGCAGCACTCAGAACCATAAGAGACTTGGAAAGATCCATGTTAGTAGTGTGCGCAATAGGCTTTTATGGGCTGAATGCAAAATCAAATTAAAGAAATGACTTGATTGACTACAGCTAGGCATTTAACTTATTTGGGTATGATCTGGTGGAAAGTCCCTAGTTAGAGGTTACTTGCCAGGTTCTGATTGGTAAAGTCTCTAGTTAGAAGTTAGTTGGCAGTTTCTAATTGGTAATGTTTAAGTTTTGTTTTACTGTTTACATTGAATTGGATTTTGGTTTGCTTACATAGGAACGTAAGTCACAGGAGCTATCTCAGCCTAATTGCCTATAAATTCAATTCTTTTAAAAGATAATATCACAGAACAGGGTAATAAGATTTAGAGGGTGGGGAATGAGGAATGTGATCAGATAACAAGGATGAGGGATTTCCACTAAATTGGTGAAGCCAGATTCTTGCTAAAACTGGACTAAGTGGGTAAAGAACACAGCCCAAGGTCAGAGCCCAGTCTAGAAGAAGACATAAAGGAGCCAGACTCAGTTTTGGTCAAGGAGAGGGTCTTTGTCAAGTATAGAGGGCAGAGAGATATAGTTACTCAAAGAAAGTAAAAAGTTAGTACAACTGTATATCCTGTATATCCGACACTCAGAACTGACAGTTGTCAACATCTTGTCATATTTGCTTTAAGTCCTTTGAAGGGAAAAGTAATCATATAGAATCCTTTTGCCCACTTCACCAGAATCCTCTCTTCCTGCTTAAAGATATCAATTATGGTATATTTACTGTGTATCTGTTGTGCAAACTCTTTGGAATGTTAGCTTAAGACAGGCCTTTCCTTAGCAAATCTATCCCTAATGACAGCAGTTTGTCTGTACAACCAAATATCTAAATGGACCATTCAGTACAATGATCGATGTACTTTGTACCAAAATCCTAGAAATATATGAAATCCTTTCATTACTTTAGTCCTAAATAAAATATACTCATCTCTCCCAAGACTCCAGTGAGAAAAGGTTTGAGTAAAAGGAAATAAAGGGGGAGGGGAGAAGTGTGTGTATATATTTATATAGAATACATAAAAGACAAAAATTTTCCATTTCCCTGTCTTCTGTTTCTTTCTATACACGCTGTTTAATTAAATTGAAATTCGTTTTATTTCTGTTTTTTTTTTTTTTTTTTGAGACGGAGTCTCGCACTGTCATCCAGGCTGGATTGCAGTGGTGCGATCTCAGCTCACTGCAAGATCCACCTCCTAGGTTCACGCCATTCTCCTGCCTCAGCCTCCGGAGTAGCTGGGACTACAGGCACCCGCCACCATGCCTGGCTAATTTTTTGTATTTTTAGTAGACGGGATTTCACCGTGTTAGCTGGGATAGTCTCCATCTCCTGACCTCGTAATCTGCCCGCCTCGGCCTCCCTGAAATTCGGGTGTTTTTGCAGTTGGGTTATAGCATTTTCCTCTCCTCTCTGTGCCATCTTCTCCCACCCTGCTCTCAGCAGCCTGTGTCCTAACACATAGTTCAGGCCAAATGTTTTGTAACTCTGCCAACCACTTTTTGACCCCTAAAACACAACTGACTACTCCATGGACCCAGACCATCAGCATCTGCAGTCTTTCACTCCCATGTGAAAGACTGCAGATGTCCCTATACCCAGGACACTCTCAGGCCCTCAGAGCCCCACTAATACTCTGTTCTCTCTCATCTCTCCTCCCCAGATTAGAGGATTTCTGAGCCATTCTACAAATGTCAGAGTAGCTGTGGGGGAAGCGAAGTCTCAAGCGAAAGTTTCTGCTAGAAGCAGAAGAAAAGAGACCTGTCAAATGAGAGAAGGGGTGTTTACAGAGAAAGGAGCAGCTAGGGGAGTGTTTACAGATCTGGCCTTCTCTGACCCTGATGTATGCCTCAGTCACATCCTCCCTTTGAAATTTCCAAAGAACAAAATACTAGCGCCTTTTTATATATAGGATGTGTGGTGATTAACAAAATGGAGACCTCTCCATCATCTGAAATAAATTGAAAACTCTTACAAACAAGGCTCATCAAGACTCCCAGCTTGAATGATGGGCATTGATGCTAATTTTGGAGGGAAACACCAGGTTACCTAGAGTAGTCAGTGTTTTTGTTTAGTATTTTACTTTGTCTACTGTAAAGTGGTGTCTGGTCAACCTCTCTGTTGTTTGTGATTACTTCAGAAAGGAGGCATTCACGGAAGCCCGGGGTGCCCGAAGAGGAGTTAAAAAAGTCATGGTTATTGTGACGGATGGAGAGTCCCATGACAACCATCGACTGAAGAAGGTCATTCAAGACTGTGAAGATGAAAACATTCAACGGTTTTCCATAGCTGTAAGTGTGTTGCTAGAGATGTTTTCAAACTCTTGGGTGTAGAGAAGAGCTGTGTGCATATTGGGGTCATTTTATGAAAGTCACACAAACCAGGTTGGAAAAGAGAAAGGTCTCCATTTGAAGGTAAGCCCTGTGAGGACAGACTTGGATCTTGCTCCCTCTGGGTCCTTAGTACCCAGCACAATGCCAGGCCAAACAGACACTCAACAAACAATCATTGAAACTGAGGAAGGAAGAAAATAAGGAAAGATGAAAAGAGGAAGAAGGAAGCAAAAACATAAGAAGGAAGGAAGGGTGAGAAAAAGAGGACTGAAAAAAAGAAGAGAAAACGAGGAGAAGGAAAGGAAGGGAAGAAGGTGGGAAGGTGGGAAAAATGCCTTTGCCTTTTTAAATAAGAGAGAGGATTTGTTCGATATAACAAGAGCAGAGGCCACTGGGCTTCCCTTTCCATTCTGAGCAATTTTCAACTATCTTTTTCATTAATTATCTTCCCCCATCACTTAGCTAAAGTGTGGGAAAGTGCCAGTTATCTCTGTTTAAATATTAATAACTTCTGATGTGTTGGACACTTGCTTTTCGGAGAAGTAGACAGGAAATGAATTTTTGTTTTCTGATGCAATTTGTAAGCTCCTGGTGTAGAACTTTCTACCTAAAATGTAGACATTCTATTGGGGAACAAGTTCTAAAATAAAAAAGTTGCCCAAATGGTATGCCAATTACTTCAGAGCCAGCTCTAGTTTTCTTTAACAGTGTGCTTCTTCAAAGCAGCTTGAAGTTCTTCCCAGACATTAGTGCATTACTCCTGTAACCTCATCATTCCCATAACTTCATGGAACAGCAGGTGAGGGAGCTGAGAAAGAGGCAAGGGCACCCAGTGACTTGGGGGGTCCCAGACGATGGGAGCAGAGTTGGCTTAAAGTCCCCTGATGAGACATGTGGTATTTCCTCTGGGATAGTCACTGATACTCCCCAGGGAAAAGGATGAGAGCCTTACTGAAGCAAAAGAAAATAATTGAGAATAAATCCACCACTGCCTTCTCTCTAGTAAGGAACATTCAAAAGCCACTGCACTGCCTGCAAGACTCACTTTCTCACATTAACATTGAGTGTACATTATAGTATTTCAGTCGTTGCTCTAAACCACTATCCATTTTTTTTTTTAAACGGAGTCTCGCTCTGTCTCCCAGGATGGAGTGAAGTGATACGATCTCAGCTCACTGCAACCTCCACCTCTCGGGGTCAAGCAACTCTCCTGCCTCAGCCTCCCAAGTAGCTGGGACTACAGGTGCGCACCACCACATTTGGCTAATTTTTATATTTGTAGTATAGATGGAGTTTCACCATATTGGTCAGGCTGGTCTTGAACTCCTGACCTCAGGGGATCCACCCACCTTGACCTCCCAAAGTGCTGGGATTACAGGCGGGAGCCACCACACCCAGCCCACTATCCCTTTAATGATACAAATAAACAAATATTTTGTAGATCATAAACAGCAACACTTTAAACAGTAATTTTAGTTCTTTTCTAACTTTCTATAAGTGAAAAATCTGTATCCTTCTTAATCAAAATATCAGTTTTTTAATTTATCATTATAAATCTAACTTTAAAAAACTACATGTAGATGTACAGTGGGGGTGAGCTACTCGGGTAGGTAGGGGGAGCCTCGGACCTGAAGGAAAGGGGTGGGGGCAGCTCTCAAGCCCGTTGCCCTTGTGCCCACTATCTCTCCAGGCCACAGTGCAGAACCGTGGTCGGAAGGGTGTTTGAGGTCTGTTTTGTAACAGGACTTTGAAGGCAGCACCATGGAGCTCTTCATTTTTAATGATGCCAGACAAGGCTATTATTGGAAAAATAAATGTGAAGTCAGAAAATCCCTGTACCTTAATGGTCACTGGAGGCCAAGACTCTCCTGCTTCTTAGAGGATTTGGATATTCTAAAAAAAAAAAAAAAAAAATCAAACAATACCAAAGGGCTCAGTGTCTTTCCTTCGTTTTTCGGATTCCAGGAGCATAGCCTTGAATTAATCCTGATCCTTGCTTTGTTCAGGCCACATTGTAATCATTTGTTGAAGTGTGACTCACTTTATTTGTTTCTCTGTTTAGAACTATATCTGTGTATTTATTTTAATAATATTATAAGCATCCATGAACCTACCACCCAAATCAAGAGCTAGCTCTCTTTTTTGACAACTACATGTGAGCGCATTTACCACCTGCCTTCCTCCACTTGGGTAACCATCAGTCCACTTTCTATATTCCTCAACCCTTGCTCTACTTTTCAAAATAATATTTAGGCACCTATACATATCCAAAAAAAATAATTTAAGAATATTTCATTGCTTTTAACATTATAAAAGGGGTGTAATGCTGTATATAATATTTTGGAACTTTTGAAACTTAATACTATATTAAGATTCATCCATATTGTTGCATATCCATATAGTTCATTCTGTTTTTAAAAATTGAGGTGATATTTACAATACAGTGAAATGCAAGGTTTCAGTGTGAAAAGTGTGCACGAAGTGAATAATTTGGTGAGTTTTGACAATTGTGTGCAACCACATAAGACCTTAATCAAGATATAGGGCAATTTCATCACTCCCAGAAAGTTTCCTGTGCTTTCTTTTTTAAAATTTGTTTTTAATTTTTATGGATACATGGTACATATTTACCTGGTACCTGTGATATTTTGATACAGGCATACAGTGGGTAATGATCAAATCTGGGCAGTTGGAATATCCATCACCTTAGACACTTATCATTTCTTTGTGTTGGGAATATTCCAAATCTTCTCCTCTAGCTATTTTGAAAAATACAATCTTGTTTACTGTCGTTGCCCTACAGTGCTTCTGAACACTAGCTCTTATTCCTTCCATCTAATTGTAGTTTTATACCCACTAACTAACCCCTCTTCATCCCTGCTCCTCCCCACTACTCTTTCCAGCCTTTAGTAACCACCACTCTCTTCACTACCTCCATGAGATCCACATTTTCAGCTCCCACATTTGAGTGAGAATGTAATGATATTTGTCTTTCAGTGCTTGACTTATTTTACTTAATATAATGCTCTTCAGTTCCATCCATATTGCTGCAAATGACAAAGTTTCATTCTTTTTAGTGGATAAATCATATTCTGTTCTGAAGATATATCATGTTTTTTTAAATCCATTCATCTGTTGATCCATACTTACGGTTAATTTTATATCTTATCTATTGTAAACAGTGCTGCAATAAACATGGGAGTGCAGATATTTCTTCAATATACTGATTTCCTTTCTTTGGGATATATACCCAGCAATGTTTTTTTGTTTGTTTGATTGTTTTCATTTTAAATACACACCCCCTGTAGTAACCACTGATGTGACTTACCACTTATAGCTCGCTTAGATTGCCAATTCTTGAATTTCAAATAAATAAAACTGTATAGCATGTACTGTGTGTTTAGCTTTTCACTCAACATAATTATTGTTTGTGATATTTTGTGTACGGGGGGTTCATTTTTTGTTATTGTTATCTATTTTATAGACCACAATTTGTACTCTACTGTTTACAGATATTTTGCTTGTGTCCAGTTTGAGTTATTGTTGTAAATAACAGTAATATAATAATATAAATTTTTAGTGTTAAAAATTTATAGAATTTTAAAATTTTATATAAAAAAAAAAAACCCAAAGTGATAATCTGCAGGTAACACTTGCAACTACAAATGTTAGGATAAAAACTAATTTTTTATTTATTACAAAAGTGATTTTCTATTATAAGGTTTTAAAAAATATATTGAAGCAAATATAAGGAAACACTTAGTGTCCTAATATACAGAAATAAAAAATAAGAAATTATGATACACATTTTTTCACATTTTTTAATGCCCATGTAGTTATGTGATTTAAAAAATAGAATTAGGTCATATCTACATATTGGGGATTTTTAAACTTTTTTGCATGTTAAATTTTACATATTGTTTTAAAAATGTTTTCATTATCTTGAACATTTTTATATTAAAAACTAAGTTTTAACATAATATGAAATTTTTACATTAAAAACTAATTTTTTTAGGCAGAAAAAGTACAAACCTTAACAAAGCTAATTAGTTGGACTTCATCAAAATGTAAAACTTCTACTCTTCAGATGACACTGTTGAGAATATGAAAAGACAACCCACAGGCAGGAAGAAAACATCTGCAAAACACAGAAAGGACTTGCATCCAGACTATATACAGAACTCTTACAACACAATTAAGGGAAAATTCACATCTCATTGTCTTTTAATGGGAAAAAAGATTTGAACAGACACTAACTACACCAAAGAAGAAATACTATAGCAAATAAGTGTATGAAAGAGTCTCAACATCATTAGTCATTAGAGAAATGCAAATTAAATAAGACACCACTACACATCAACACAATTGCTAAAACTAACAAGTGAACAACAACAACAAAAAGCTGACAACAAGTATTGACAAGCATGCAAAACAGCTGGATCTCTTATACATTTCTGATGGGAATAGTAAAATGGCAAAATGGGACAATTACTGTGGAAAGCAGTTTGGCAATTTCTTATAAAGTTAATCATTCACTTATTACGTGACCCAATACTTTCACTCCTAGTTCTTTACTCAAGAGAAAATGAAATATACGTCTATTACAAAGACCTATGTGTGAATATTTACAACAGCTTTATTCATAATATCTTGAAGCTGCAAACAACTCAGATGTTCTCATTAAATAAATTGTAGTGCATCCATACAATGGAATGCTACTCTGCAACAGAAAGGACCCAGCTACTGCTACATGCGGCAACACAGATGACTCTGAAAAGCATTGTGCAAAGTCACAGAAGCCAGACACAAATGCCTGCATACTATATGATTCCTTAAATCTGACATTCTGGAAAAATCAAAGCTGTAAGGACAGAAAATTGATCGGTGGTTGCCAAAGGTGGACGAGGGGAGGAAGGGATTGACTGTAGGGGCAGGAGGGAGCTTTTTGGGGTGATGGAAATATTCTACATGATATGGCAGTAACACAACTATATTGGTTTGTCACACTCATAGAATTGTACATCTAAAAAGGGTGAATTTTACTGTATATAATTTATTGCAATAAACGTTACCTAAAAAAAAAACTAAATGTTTGAGAAAACCTGCTTGGACAGCTAAATAATTACAGTTAACTATCATATATAACTCCTGCTTCTCTCTCCTCTCTATGAAAAAGAATGTCCCTGTCTCCAGCATTTGGTTTCAAACAAGAATATCTCAATTGTTTATTGTCTAGATTGCCAATTTAGGTCACCACTTAGTCCAGTATGTGTTTAAAATATATATATGCTGGGCTGTGCCTTGGTAAGAGTTTCAGGAAGAATTGCTCATTCAAGAGCAGGCAACTCACTTGCTGATTGCCTTTGCCAGCAGATAATGACATCACTAGCTGGAATAATATCAAAGACATTCAGAAACTATGAATATAACATTACTTTTGAACTGTCAGATTTTAAAAATACAGCTGTTAGTAACAGAGACACAGAGTACAAGAGGAGAAATTTTCACACACATACACAATTGCCCTTTATATTTTTCTACACCAGTTGTGGTGTTTATATAACAGTTAATATTAGGGAGTCTACAAATTTTGAAAATCAATATTCCATAAATATGAAAGTACATAAAAATTCCATTATGCTAAGGTACTCTACCCTGTTGTTTACTGACAAAATGCTTGAGATCCTTTATTTAACACATATAATTTAAAATATATTCTTGCTGTTCCTGTTGTGTCTTAGATTCTTGGCAGCTATAACCGAGGAAATTTAAGCACTGAAAAATTTGTGGAGGAAATAAAATCAATTGCAAGCGAACCCACTGAAAAGCATTTCTTCAATGTCTCTGATGAATTGGCTCTAGTCACCATTGTTAAAACTCTGGGAGAAAGAATATTTGCCCTGGAAGGTATGTCTATTTATCTTATTGCTGCATGTTCTCTCTGCAATTCAAAATCAATGTAACGGGATTTTTGTATTTATTCCTAACACATCAGTAATACATTTTTTTACTGTGTACAATAGCTAGCATGGAACAATGCTCTTTTATATAAATCTGTCATTGAGACAGCTGTTTCTCAGAACGCTGTGTCTGCTAGGGGCTCTCTTTGTAAGGGCACGGTAGGACAGTGCTGATGGGACAGCCGATGAAGACAATGGTCAATGTATATGTGCCAGGACAAAAATGTTTCCATGTGCTTTATTCCTTTTCTGTAACATAGATTTAGAAAATGAGGGTACTATCTCAGGTTTTGTTTTTTTTTTTTTAATTGTTTCTTCGTTTCATATTGAGCTGCTACATACAAGAGTGTTCTTATGCAATAACTTCTTTGTTCATTTATTTTCTCTGTATTTTGCTCCTTGCCCAGTTTAAAGGTCTTCATGGAACTCTGCCTTAAAATCCATGGCAATGAAACATTGGTTCACTGTATTTGTCTAAATCATGTTACTTCTTTGCAGATTTTCCCTTGATTTTTCAATGGTGACTGGCTGTTAAGGATAACAAGTTATGGCATTCCCCATTCTGCCTTAGGTAGAGGATGTCAAGTAGCTAATTACTTTGGAACTAGATCTTTCCTAAAAAAATCTTCAGAATTGTTATGCCAGGCAAACTGGCAAAGCTTCTTTCTTCACATTCTTTGATGATCTCTAGTCTCAGGGAACATGCGCCTTTTCTCCAGCTAGGGAGAGAAACCACCAGAGAATTCTTTTCCCCTTAGGCTACATCCAAATCCAGTTGATCGTGTCCTTGTGAGGACACACTAAAAGACTGTTATTTCTGCATCTTAAAAGCAGAAATTTAAGAGCACCTTCTTGGTCTCCCTGATATGATTGATAATAGGAAACAGAAAGACAAAATGGGAATGAGACATAACTGAAGAAAGTGGACCATTTTGATTGAGCATCAAGGGACTGGGAAAATGCAGAAAAATGAGACTATGAAAATGTATAGAAAGGAAAGAAGATTATTTAGAGTTATGGCTTTCAAACCTTTTTTGAGTGTGACTCACAATAATAACTACATGTTGCTTTTTGACCCAGTGCACATAAATATATACATATAAAAATAAGGCAAAGTTTCACAAGATAATTCTTATTATATGTGATACACTGTGATGGCTTCTCATCTCTTCCATTCTACCCTAATCTCTTTCAATGAAAAAAAATGCTGGCTATACTCAGTCTGTTGATTTCATGACTGGGTCACAATCCGTACTTAGAACATTTGATTTAGAGGTGATAGGAATCTACTGCCCAGCCAGACTGAATTTCTTTGCCTCCCTTTTCCCCTGGCCTCTTTCCCCTGTGCCTTTAGAAACAGAACACTCTAATTGTTTATGAGTCTGGAGTTACAGCTGCTTCTGAAGAACTCAGCTGCCTTGTGCTCTGTGTACAAGTCATTTTTAAGTGGCTTTGGTCTCTCAACAGCTCTCCCCGTGTCATTTACCAATAAACCGGATTATGAACTTGGCTGGCCTTAAGGAAAATACATAAGGTCTTCCAACTCATTGTGTACTTTTATTTTTAATAACATGGGCTAAGATATGATAGAAACAATCTGTAAAAATATTTTTTTAAAAAAGTTACATAGTTACATTTTATAGTTCAAAAGAATACAGTGTCATTTCTAAATCTCCTCTTAAATAAGCAAGTAATCTAAGACTGGCAAAAATGAAGCCCACATCAGCTGGGGGAGGGGGAGATCAATGATCTGAAATGACATTTCAGATTGTTTCTAATCTGACTACACCATGGGTTAAAGGTGACATGTTGAAGAGCCCAAACACTCCAAGAAGTCTCTATATTTAAATATGACATCATTTTATAAGGAACTTTACAGATTAAAAATGTCTTTTGTATCATCTTTGTTGCTACACTACACCAAAAGCAGTGTTTTGACTAGATTATTTCTTTTGTTTTTTTTTTCATGAGATTTTTACTTTATTTCCTTGTTGCTTGGGAAATCTCCATTTCCTGTCAACATGTATCTTAAGATGACAAATAGCTGTGATTAAGAAATTTCTGCTTGTCAAGGACAGTGCCATCTATTGAGGCAAGTATGCCAAGGACTTGCCTAGTACATCAGAAAATGATCTACTGTCTCCATTTCCCATTGAGCATTGGGAGAAAATGCCAACATTTCTAACCAGAGGCTGCACAGTGGTTAGAGGGGCTGGCCCAAACACCCATGAACAGTCCAGGGAGGAGTTTGCAACAAGAAGCCCAGGAGAATATAGTGACCTCTTATCATGATGCCACTGCAGCAGGAAGAACTTCACATAGCTTCCTTCTGTCTGTTCTCAGCTGAAGACAGAATAGCAGCAGGGCAGGTGCTGGAAATAATGCAGGCTTCTGTTGCTGCATTCTTACTGATCTTGCAGATAAGTGAGAGAACCCCTGAAAGCATTGTGGACTGAAAATACATGTTTAAATTAAAGTTAAAGTGCATCTCAGTCATTTAAATTACAGGACAATTCCTACAAGAGATTAAAATGATATATTGGAATTATTGATTGCCCTATTTAATCTAGTCCTACAAAGGTAATTACTGATGTATTTGTTCACAATTTTATCCATGTAAATAACTAACAAATACAGTTACCTTCACAAATTTGATTATTCTCTTGCCTCAATGAAAGGGCAGACTGACTTTCTTAAGTGCTATTTTTAACCTATCTGCAAGACCAAATAAATCAGTAACCCCTAGTGCAAGCAAATAAATCAACATTCCATCAACTCCCTCAGGAAATTGTGGCTTTGGGTTTGTGAATATTTTGAGAATAATTTGAGAGTAGCAGACTGCCATAAAATGCTCTGAATTGTCTCTGCATTTCAGTAAAGAGCTTCAAAATGGCTACAGGATCTTTTAAATATATATGATTGAAAGGCATGTGGGCAGACCTATCCAAAGACCCCTCCTGATCTGTGAGTGACACTTACCAGCAGTGATTAGAGCAAATAAATACATACTAAAATACCTAAACCCTTTATCTCTCAATGAAACTCTGACAGGATCTATGGCCTGAATATGGGTGCAACTGATGGAGCTGAGAAACCTCCTCAAACATGTGAATGAAATTTTTTTCAGTCCCGTAACATATTAAGGGAATTTCTTGGCAGTGTTCCCAAGGCATGGATTTGGATAGGAATTTCCTCCTGTAGCACATCCAACTTAAACCATGTGGACCCAAAGCACCATAGGATCCACAACATGCTACAGTATAAGAATGGAGATTTCTCAACCCCTCCATCAAGGACAGGGCTGCTAATGAGCAAGAATTTGAGACATGAGTCCTTTGACTATCTTTCTCTGTCTTCTACCCAGGCCTACCTAGAAATTTTGAGTTGAGAAATGTATGGCTGAAAATACCCTAAAATGTTTGAAGTTCTGGTTGGTAAGACCACAAGTCCTACCAGGTATCTGTATTCTGCAAGTCAGTAGTGCATGAAAAGGCATTGTTACTTATTTACAGTGATATTTTCCTATGTTATAGCTACAGCTGACCAGTCAGCAGCTTCATTTGAAATGGAAATGTCTCAGACTGGCTTCAGTGCTCATTATTCACAGGTATGTTGACCAGTTTGTGGAAAATGAAATATATGTTTGCAAGACTTCCTTTCCCAAAACCAACGTCTAGCCATCAGGACTGTAAGTGCAATGTGCAGTTCATAGCTTAAACAATTATGCAGGCTATGATGATGTTTGCTAATTCAAACAGGAAAATGTCGTTTCACAAGCTTCTTATTAGAAAAACATGTTCTCTCACACAGCTCGTTTTGTTGTATTAATAGTTGTGAATCAGACAGTGTGAGCTGTGCCTTGTAATTATGTATCTGTCTAAATGAAATAATTTAACATATTTGCTACAGATGTGGAAATTTTTCCACAGTGTCAAGGAATTCAAGGGTCTTACAATTCTGTGTTCAAGACCTACAATTCTTGGCACCCAGAATAAAGTAGAAAGGCGAGATTTAAAAATATATCATTTGCAGGTAACGAAAGAAAAGGCATAATGGTCTTGCAAAAGAATATGGACATTTTTATGTGCAATTTTACTGTATAACTTGGGCAAGTTATTTGTGCCTCGATTTCCTTTTCTGTAAAACAGATATGGTAACAATAGCATCTAGCCCATAGAGTTATCATGAGGATTATATGAGCTAATAAATGTGAAGCACTTTGAATGGTATACCTATACACATTGTTAATAGTGTTTAAGTGTTTCCCCTTATTATTTTTATTAAATATAATTATCTTATCCATTTGCATGTAAGGACTGGGTCATGCTTGGAGCAGTAGGAGCCTATGATTGGAATGGAACAGTTGTCATGCAGAAGGCTAGTCAAATCATCATCCCTCGAAACACAACCTTTAACGTTGAGTCTACCAAAAAGAATGAACCGCTTGCTTCTTATTTAGGTAAGGTTTGGATATAATTATAAAAGAGTTGTCTTACTTTTCAATTTTTTACCTTTAGCATTATTTGCTTATGTTTCTATAGGCTTGCAACCATATAGCAAGATTATTTCAATGAGTCGGGTATTTTTCAGAACCCATGCAAAGTTTCAGGCCTCTGAGCAGCTTTAGTTAGTCAAAATGACATACATGGAAGACATTGTTTGTTAGTAGGGCTATCTAATGCAGGGAATGGTTTCGGATGATATGTGCCCTTTCTGATATGTTCAGTTTCTCTGTATCTGGTATCAATTTTAACTTCAAGAAGAGCTTTGAACCTGTGGACAAGAAATGAGAGTAGAAAGGGAAACCTCAACTTCTCCTATATCCTGAAAACCAAAGTCGCATATTGTCTTAAATGTCTCCTATCATTAATTTCTCTCTATGGGTCCTAATTTTGGAAAAGAAAAATGTATTTTGTCATGTAACTTCTTCTTTAATAGCTCCATTCACAATCAGACAAATATTGAACTTAAACCCAGTGATGTAACATGATCCTGTTTCCCAGTGTCTTGCCAGAAATGAGGAGGTATATATCTGGTACCACTTTATTTGGGATCTATACCAAGCTGAGCAATGCCTAGGGGATGCCAGGGAACTCTCCCATCACTGAACAAAGATCTCTGTGAATGATTGGGAGGATCTAGAATAGAAAGGACCATCAGGATATGGATTCCCAGCTCGTACTCACTCAGCAAATATTTGGAGGCTCCTCTTTTGCCCCAGGCATTGATCTTAGTGCTGGGGATGCAGTGATAAAGAAAAAGAATACCTTGGCCTGGAAGCATTCAGTTTCACATGTTAGCATTCCTCTCTGGGATGTTTCTGTCCCAGAGGTAAGTCTTTTTCTCTCTGTCCCAGTTGCTTTCTATTTTACCAGGAAGGTGGCAGGTCTTTACTGTGGTGTTTATACATCTCCTTATTTAAGGACACCTATTAAAGCTGTAGGGGCAGCAGGACTTAAGAAGAATAAAAGGACTATAGTTTTAGATGACTAAAAATGTAACAGTCAACAGCAGCTACACTGTGACTGCTAAAATCTCTTAAGACATATAGAACTGCATGAATGAAAGTCTACTCTGTTTCTCATAGAAATCCTATTACATTCCACTCTGGTCAGCCGACAACTAGAGTATCTTGTTGTTCTAAGTATCACATGCTAGAGGGAGAAAATGACAAACTAGGATGTGCCAGTAAAAGATTACATAGAGAAGTTAGCTCCAGAAGCAATTCCTTGCTACAAGTCTCACTCTCTCCAAAACTTAAAGAAATTGAAGGTTAGAAAACAAAGTGTGCATTGCATGTCTTTTAAGTATTTGGAGGATTGTGATATAAAATATAGGGGTTAGGCTTAAAATTCATTTCAAATTTCAACATTAAAAGAGATCCTATGGAGCATGTAGTCTTAATTTCCAATTGAGAAACTGAGAGAGAGAACAATTGTGTCCCAGCTGCCTATGACAGGTGTGAAACCACAATTCAGACTTCCTGATTCTTATGCCAGTGTTCATATCACGATATTGAAATAACTGATTCGGGGTTGATTAAGAAAGCACCGCACAAATACTGAGTACCAGCAATGTGCCAAACACTGAGTTTATAGAGAATAAGAAGATAGATGAGGCAGGTCAATTCCTACATTCATAAATCTTACTTTTTTGGGTGAGAGACAATAATGGAACAAGCAATCGCTATCAGCATGATATGTGCTATGACACAGAATATCTAAAAAAAGAGGGCTGGGGATTAGATTAGATATCTTCTAAAAAGTTCGCTACATCCTAAGGTTCTATGAGACTGTTTACGTGAAATACCTTGGAATCAAGAACCAGCTTAACCTGAGGCTTCTTTGTATTCTATGTAGAATAAATATAGAACATTTATCTTCCTATATAATGGATGACATATAAATTAGTAAAACTCCTTATGAAAGGCATTTGACAGTGTGTTTACAGAGCTATAAAAATGTTCATACCACATTTATACAGAAATTTCACTTCTGTGGACCTAACCTAAGGAAAAAAATCCAATATTTAAGAATGCCAAGTGAACAGTTATTTCCACTGTATTATTATTTATGGTATTGAGGGAAATGCTGTTATCCTAAATGCCCCAAAATATGCAGATAGTTAAGTAAATAGTAAATCCACTTAACGAATATTGTACACTCATAAGAATAAAAATTATAAAGCTGCTGATACTAAAGACTTGAAGCAGTTATGGTACAAGATGTACAATTAGCGATAGCCATGAGGTCATAGAGACTTGAGTTTGTTTTCTGATTCTGCCTCTGGCTATGGCTTTAGGGAAATTACTTTCCCGCTGAAAGCCTCAATCTTACTATTTCTAAACTGGAAATAATTACACCATATATATCATTTGGATTGTTAGATTAAGTAATGACTGTATTTAGTACTGTACCTGACACACAGTTAACAATCAATGGGTGTTGCCTATTATTTCATTATGTAAAGGTTATTTTGTATTTTTTATTATGTAATGTTATATAATAAACATTCCTCTTATTAGTATTGTGGTAGGCAGAATAATGAACCCCAAAGATGTCCATGTGCTAATCCCTGGACCCATGAATAGGTTACTTTGCATGGCAAAAGGGACTTTTCAGATATGATGATATTAAGGAAAAGATGGGAAGATTATCCTCAGATATCTGGCTGGACCTGATATAATCAAGCATTCTAAAAATCAGAGAACCTCTCCTGGATATGGCCAGAGGGAGACAGAACTATGGGAGGATGGTCAGACAGATGCAATGTTGTTGGCTGTAAAGATGGAGGGGGGTCACAAGCCAAAAACTATGGATGGCTCCAGTGCTACAAAGGGCAAGAAAATGGATTCTCCTTGATAGGCTCCCGAAAGGAACACTGACCTGCCAATATCCTGATGTTTAGTCCAGGAAGCTCTATGCCAGACTTCTAATGTACAGAATTGTAAGATAATAAGTTATGATGCTTTAAGCCACCAAGTTTTTAGTAATTTGTTACAGCAGCAATAGAAAACTCATACATAATACAAAATAATAATAGTAGCTGACATTAGTACTATTACTAGCAAGTATTGAGTATTTACAAAATTAAAGACACTGTGTGAAGCCCACAAAGATGTGTATGATATTGTTGCCACTCTTAGGAAGCCCACATATTTTAATTGATAGCACTGTAGTTTTTGGTATTCTTAATTGTATGTGATTAAATTCCTTTAAAATAAGTAAACTTTTAAGAATTCTAAGTTTGTCATTCCCAAAAAGCTTTGGTTAAACGTTGCTTAAAGCAGACTTGGATAATTCAACTTAAAGATGGCACTGTAAGTGAGAAAATATTAAAAGAATCATTTCTGACCACAGTATTTATAATATATGACTTCTCTCTGTCCAAAAAGGAAATTTTTGGATATGTTTTCTACAGTGTGCTGTGATTTCCTTTTCTGTTTCAGAAATTATTTCATTAGCTTACTCACAAGTGAGGGTATGTGACATTTTGCCAACATAAAGTCTAATACATGTAGGATTTCTTTCAAAATAGAAAAGCATCCAAAAGGCAGGACAAATACCTTGTTGTTTTTTTTTTCACCCAAAATAATATTCTAAATCTGAAATGAGGTTTTCAAAATGTTTCTTTGTGGGAGTCACAAATTGAGAAGACACTGAATGTATTTTTTCGTAAATCTGTATGGATTGCAAGTTGTAAGACTATGAAAAATCTTACGAAGGAAGCAGAGAGGCAGAGGCTCTATTAGAAAAATCCCGTGCTTATCCATAATGATCAGTTAGCTGTCAAACATCTGTCTCAGGACATAATTGTACCCCTATCTTTCTATTACCCAAACTGCCTTATGCCAATACGCATTGCAAGTGGATTTGGTGGTGAGAATACAGCTGGGATTATGTTCCCCCGCTTCCTCCACCCACAGTTTGCTGAATTCTATTCCTGCCAACAGCTTCCAAAGGAGAAGGAAAGATCTGAGGCAATGTCTTGGCATCAAGACAGATCATACCTGTTTCCCATTACCTCACTAGATCCTGGCCCTTTACCCCAGAAGTGAATTATGAGAACTGACAGAATTCATTCTTCATAAATTCATGCAAAGGGCTATGCCACCCATTTTGGCCTTTTCTTCTTCTTTTTTTTCTCTTAATTTGAGTCAGAGTTTCTCTCTTATTGCCCAGGCTGGAGTGCAGTGGCACGATCTCTGCTCATTGCAACCTCCACCTCCTGCATTCAAGTGATTCTCCTGCCTCAGCCTCCCGAGTAACTGGGATTACAGGCACCTGCCACCATCCCCTGGCTAAGTTTTTGTATTTTGGGTAGAGACCAGGTTTCATCATGTTGGCCAGACTGGTCTCAAACTCCTGACCTCAGGTGATCCACCAGCCTCAGCCTCCAAAAGTTCTGGGATTACAGGCGCGAGCCACCGCGCCCAGCCCTTTTCGTCCATCCTATTCTTTTCTTTTTCAGGAAACACTATTAAGCTTAAATATTTATAATTATTTTCCTTCTACTAAATTTAGGCTTTACTTGGCTCTGGCTCTCTTTTTCTTTTCTTCCTTCTTGTCTTTAGACACCCAAGCCTCAATTAGTAACTATGCTAACTGTCCCTGAGATTATTTCAACTAATATTTTTATTTATGAAGTATAAGTCATCAAAGAGAGTTAACTAAATAATCTCACAACTCCTAGCCTCAAACAAAATTTTCAACTTATTTTTAAAAGAGGCCTTTTATCCAGTTACGTTCACAGCTCTGCAAATTACACACACACACACGTACTAACACTCTCATTCTACTCCCTTCTTTACAGTTCTTAGTAGAGTGGCATGAAATAAAATGGTCTTCGTTTTGCACATTCTTCGTTTCCATTTTATGTATGTATAAACATGGCCTGAAAGATTCATTTTAAAACGATGTTGTTGTTAGTAATATAAACATATAACACATTACATGTTTGAAAAAATATTTTAGATTCTATTATGTATAATAATAAAAAAACCCTCAAAGAAAGATGAAGGAATGAGAATGTGAGGAATATTCATAAAGGATAATATGCGTGCGTAACTGTGCTCCTTTAGCACTTGTAAGAATAAACATATTGTATAAAAACTTTTTTTCCTTTTTAACACTTTTGGAAGAAAGTCAAACTTACTTTATGGTAAAATACTTGGTAAGTGAGTTAGAAAATGATATTTTTCTCAGCGAGAAGTGCTATTCTGTGGCATTTTGAAAAATAATCTGACTTCTACTGCACTGAAGAAATCTGGTTATTAGAAGAGTTATTCCTTTTATAAAATCAAAATCTGCATGTGATAATTTTATTCATTGATGTCGCTGTGTTCTCAAAACACAAAGAACAAATCTGATTTTTCACTCAAAAATTAATTCTAAAGACACAATTTATGCTCTTCCTGTAAGCAGCCTGAGATGATTTCTTAAAATGGTTTACTATTCACTTGACCCAGAACAACCCAAAAAATTATGCAAATCAAGAGATTCAAATCTTCATGTTCACTTTAAGAAGATCCATGAAAATACCCAGGCAATCAGAGGTGTGTATATCTGAAAAGCCAGCAAGTATCTGAAAGATGTGACTTTCCAGAAGCAGTGTGTGCCGTTCCATCATTGCAATGGTGGAGTTGGTAGATGTGCCCGAAGCCAAACAGTGGAGCTGGACAGAAGGTTTATGGCCCCAAAAGAGTGCTGAAAGTTTGTTGCACATGCTTAAAAATATAAAAAACAGTGCTGATCTTAAAGGTTTGTATGTAGATTCTCTTGATCATTGTGTACATCTAGGTGGGCGAAGCACCCAAGATGCACTGGCTCTATTTACAGGGCTCATGGTCAGATTAACCCACATGTGACCTCCACCCCCACTGTCACACCCACCGCACTGAGATGATGCTTACTGAAATAGAACAGATTTTTCTAAACCAGAGGAGGAGGTTGCGCAGAAGAAGAAGGTATTCCAGAAGAAACTGAAGAAACAAAATTAATGACCCAGGAATAACTTCAATATAAAATATATCCAAATAAAATCAAAAGTAAAAAAAGACAATTCAAAATTTTAAAGAGCATGGAAGCTCAATTAAAAAGAAGAAAGATCAGATATGTGAAAAACGATTCAAGCTCTCTGTTGAATAAAGTCACATTAAAATCACAGCAAGGTACTGTTGTTAGACAATGTTTAACACCTATTAAAACATACACAAATTTAAATAATAGTGATAATACACAAAGCCTGGGACAGTTTCATGAAATTGTCTTTCATATGGCTGTTCATAGAACAAAGTAGTACAAATTTTCTGGAAACAATTTTCTAGACACTATAAGAATCATTAAAAACTTGATCCAGTGATCTATTCCTTAAAATTTACTGTCAAAAAATCCAGAAGAGGGACAAATTTAAATGCACCAAGGTGTCTTTGAAATCTTAAGTGTAATACCAAAAATATTAAAACCACCTGAATTCTAGTGTTTTATCGGGAAATGCTCATGTAATATAAATGTAATGTCTTTATGCTTTAACCAAGAGAAATCATCTTCAATTATTTAAAATTACAATTTAAAAAGCTAGTAGCAGCACAGAAAAAGTTTACATTTTCTCTGATCCAATTATATGAAAAGTATTAAATTCTGTAGTGCAGACACATATATCCAAATGAAATACAATCGATTTATTACAAAATGGGGTGGGGATGTGCAATGTTTTTGTGTGTGTCATCATTGTTGTATCATTTGTGATTTTAAATAATGAAAGACTCAGACTGGGGGTAAATAGATTCTCCGGAGAAAGCAATTGTGGTAGATAGAGAGCACATTAAAAGCCTCCACCAGAACAAATTCTTACATGCACTGAAGAAAAAATATTATTTTCAAAATATAACCATATAAAAATGATTCTCTTGGTCATTTAGAAAGAGTTTTAATTTATTACATGAAGACTTCAAGGGTCCAGGTGGTATATCTGGAATCTTTCTTTTGTTAGGTTACACTGTAAACTCTGCTACTGCTTCTTCTGGAGATGTGCTCTATATTGCTGGACAGCCTCGGTACAATCATACAGGCCAGGTCATTATCTACAGGATGGAAGATGGAAACATCAAAATTCTCCAGACACTCAGTGGAGAACAGGTAAACTTGAAAAATATTGTTTTATTTAAATTAATCTATTCATACTCTATGTATGTTTACTGTCTATTGTCCTAAACTTTTAAAAATGCGTTATCCACATATTCAGTAACAACTGGGAACAGGGCCCCATGTTAGGTTCTTTGGAAGGATGTATAGTGTCTGTATCTTTCTCTTCATGTTGGATGGGGGTGGAGGTAAGATGTATAATAGGCTGGGCACGGTGGCTCACACCTATAATCCCAGCACTTTGGGAGGCTGAGGCGGGCAGATTACCTGAGGTCAGGAGTTTGAGACCAGCCTGACCAACATGGAGAAACCAAACTCTACTAAACAGCCTGACCAACATGGAGAAAAAAACTCTACTAAAAATACAAAATTAGCTGGGCATGGTGGCACATGCCTGTAATCCCAGTTACTAGGGAGGCTGAGGTAGGAGAATCGCTTGAACCTGGAAGGTGGAGGTTGCCGTGAGCCGAGATCGTGCCACTGCACTCCAGCCTGGGCAACAAGAGTGGAACCCAATCTCAGGAAAAAAAAAAAAGATGTATAATAGATGTAGATACAGACATACGAATACATACACAAGAAAAGAGATCCAAACCATTAAGAGGTACGAAATTACCAGTGGCCCAGACAATACAGTCAGAATATGATGAGATTGCTTTAAGCTAGGACTGGTGCAGAAAAGCTTCTTAGAAGATGAAATTTGGGCTGAATCTACAAGGGATGATAGAATATAGATAGGTAGGAAGAGCAGTGAAAGAGAAAGTTAAAAAGATAACATGGACTCATATTATGTGAGGTTTTGAATGGCAAATTAAGAGCTTGGATTTTATCCTGGAGGTAATGGGAAATTGGCTGTAATATTTAAAATTGGAAAATTCTTATTAGGTGGTATTGAATATTAAAAGAAATTTGGGAAATTATACATGAAATAACATTTATATATGTATATATATAAACTGAAAGAAACATCATAAATATGCAAACATTTACACACACGCGCACACACACACACACACATACATATTAACTGAAAGAAAGATCTAACCATGCTTTTTGTTGTTGTTATTTTTGAATTGTGATAGCTCAGGGAACTTTTATCTCTAAAAAGTTTTCTGTATTTTTCAACAGTTCTACAAGGAGGATTTATTAACTTTATTCCACAGTCCTTTTACAGAGGGTGGGAGAGGGGTTCTTCTTAGCCTTCACTAAATATTCCAACTTTTAGACTAGAGGGGCAGGGCCGCATCAGCCCTGCTGTTCTGCAGGAGTCTGAGCTGCAGCCCAGCGCAGCAGTAAAGCTCAGGTGCAGGGATACTCACATTAGTCACGCCCACAGACTGCACTGGCTTTCTAGCCCCATGCCCCGCAGGAGCAGTATCTTTTATGACAGCACCATAGACATAGCTTCCAGGGTCTCTACAAAGGGCAGGCTGGCTACAAGAGTAACTGCACTCTGGGAAGTCAAAACTATGTCATCTTCATCAGGTCCTTATAAATCATTTATAGTTCCACACAGCCCGAATACACTATCCCAATAAGAGGTTATTTTTACTCCATCAGGGGTAAAAGCAACAGCTTAGCCTTAGTGGTAAAGGTGAAATCCCAAACTCAGCAGATTCCCAGGGCAACAGAGTTAGAGTAACTAAAGGTCAGATCCTCATGTATCAGGTGAAAGGGTTTTATTAACTCTTTGCCCACATTTATACTCGGAAAATGCATAACAGTTAGAGTAAGGCTATTGTTATAGCTCAAACTGGAGGTAAGAAGAACGTAAAATAAGATGTCAGCAGTAAAAATGGAAAAGGAAGGGGCATGACAGATATCAATAAGAAGAAATTGACAATAGTAAAATGAAGCATTTTAGATGACATCTTAGTTCCATTATCACTCCATTAATTGTCTACAAGACAGGAAGTGTCAAATTTTATGAAAATTTACATATGAAAGTTGAGGAGAGTATCATGAATGATTTAAATCATGAATGACTTCAGTTTCAGCCTGGGAATGTGAAAGAAATGTGGCTCCATGATTAGAATGTCAACACCTCAAGCAATTTAGGTATTTTTAACAGTGACGTTTGGCTTTTAGACATGTTCCTTGTAACAGTAAGCACAAATTCAGATATTTGCATGTGCCAGTAAAGTAAAATCAAAATAGGTAAAGTCAATGAGCAAAGCTGCTGGGTGAAAAAACACAGGAAGTGGTGGGAATCATGTCCCTGGGCAGCTTGTAAAATTCCACCGAGCTCCAGTTGACCGTTGCCATATGGGAAGGAAAATCCAGTGTTGCAAGATCTTCTATTTTATTTATGTTTATAATTAATTCAACTTTTAAAAAGACCTCTTAAGCCCCTCAAAAACCTGTGAGAAAAGTGCACTCAAAAGGCAGTGTCTTTTGCCCACATGCCTAGGAGCAATGTCTAGAAATGTAGAACTGAAGCCTTGAGAAGGAAGACAGAATGATATTTGCAATTGCCTTAGTAGAAATGTTTAAGAAGGATTGATTATCTAGGGTAAGAGAATGGAAAAAAGTTACAGGTCTGAGCTTTAGAAGAGGCCAAAATTCAGAAAATGGGAGTGGGGGAAGAAGCCAGTAAATATGAAAGAGTGTCTATGCCACAGGGGCAGAAGCAAGATTGTAAGAGTAAAATCACAGAAGCCACTACAGGGAGATGTACAATAAGATAATTATTAAGAGCATCAAATATTAAACATAGAATAATATTTGAAAAACTTGTTTAAGCATTTAGGTAATGAAGTGTAAGTTCTCTGCTTTTGTCTAAATAGAGAAAACATATTGCTACAAGGGATGATCCCCCTGCAATCCTTCCATATTTTTCTATATCCCATAGCTGCTGGGATAACACTTAATCATTTAATTGAGAAGACAATCTTCCAAGACTATGAGGTGAAATATGCCACACCAGTATTCCAGGACAACTCAGTTCCTTATAATGTATTTAAACATACATGCAACCATTACAGAATGCATTCTACTGCTTATCTAATTTTATTTCCTTAAAAAATCACTATAGTATTACTGACCTTTTCTGATTTGTGGAGAAGAAAGAGAGGTTAGAGTGAAATCTAAAGAAATTCATTTTGTTACTGTCAGGCAATGAAATCTGTAACAGCTGTTCATCCTCAAAGATGGAACCCACTAATATTCTTTATCCTCATGAAAGAGCCAATAAATAACTTTCAGGGAGCATCAATTTCTATCTTTCATTTCCTTTGCCAACTAGCTCCTCTACTAGATTGCTAGAAGTAAAACAAATGTAGATTTCAGCTTCCTTGAGAATTTCCGATGTTCATTGGGCTGTTTTGTTTCATTTTGTGTCCTAGATTGGTTCCTACTTTGGCAGTATTTTAACAACAATTGACATTGACAAGGATTCTAATACTGACATTCTTCTAGTCGGAGCCCCTATGTACATGGGAACGGAGAAAGAGGAGCAAGGAAAAGTGTATGTGTATGCTCTCAATCAGGTAACGGAGTCTGAGTTTGGTAGAAATCCAGTAAAATCTCTTCCTTCTCTTCATTTTTGAATAATAGATTCTACTTTTTCACTCACTTTGAAAAAACAGAGCAAAGAAGCTATCAGGATTTATTCACTCCACCAACCCCTCAGTTTTGAAATGACCATTTATAATTCTAATAAAGTAGCTCCAACCCTTAGATATTTTCTGCTTGGAAATGTGAATTATGTTTAACACTGTATAGGATAAAGGAGGTAAATATAAATCTCACTAAACTGTTAAATAAACCCACAAGGCTTATTTAGGCTGGGAGGCTTATCAGCTCTGGCTTGGAGGTGGATAATAACCTCAGCAGTTAAATCGGATAGGGTTGAGGGGGAGAAGTCATGAGTTTCAAGGCAGCGACACTGCAGACTTCCAGGAAATACTTCACTGGGCTGGAGTGAGATTTTGTCTTCCATGCCTAACTTTAGACATCATTTTTTAAGTTAAATAATTTTTAATTTCTTCATTAGAAGAATGTTTTGCTCTTTACAGCAAAGCCAGTGTTTATTTAGCTTTTCCAAATATGTACATTCTCTCCTAAATTCATTATTTTAAATAATAAAGCATATATCTTTCTTCCTATCATTTTTTTGGCTCCCTCCTGTCAACTTTTTTTGTCCCAGGCTGTTTTGTTCTTTTTCCAAGAAAGTGTATTCTTAATCACCTTTGCTAGTACTTTCTGTCTGGGATTTTTTTTTTTTTTCTTCCACTCTAGGCAGCTTTAGAGAAAGTTTCCTTTTAAAGCAGAATAAATTTTCACTTTGCACAATATTGGGTGAAAAGGGGATAGTGGTACAAATTAAGGATTTAAATATTATTTGGCCTGAAAAAGATGCTCTGAATTATATACTCACTCAATTGCATTAAAGAGAGATTCCATTAAAGTATGTCTCCCACACTTCTACAATCTGCTCTTTGGAATCCCTAACTTTGCTCTCAGATAGGTACAATTTTAAAGAAATTTTACCACCCTTACCGCTAATGTACAAATGGCTGTTAATAGCACTGATTTAGTATACTTTAAAAATTTTACTCTGCTGTAGTAATGATGGAAATCTGTAAATATCCTGTTTATCTTTCTTCCAGACAAGGTTTGAATATCAAATGAGCCTGGAACCTACTAAGCAGACGTGCTGTTCATCTCGGCAGCACAATTCATGCACAAAAGAAAACAAAAATGAGCCATGTGGGGCTCGTTTTGGAACTGCTATTGCTGCTGTAAAAGACCTCAATCTTGATGGATTTAATGACATCGTGATAGGAGCTCCGCTGGAAGATGATCACGGGGGAGCTGTGTACATTTATCATGGAAGTGGCAAGACGATAAGGAAAGAGTATGCACAAGTAAGAGTTGAAACCTACAGATTCCCACCCTTCAGTGATAAGTCAGTTCGATGCCAGGCATTACCTGTCTAACTTCATGAGTTATTTAATTTCTTCCTCCTGACCTTATTGGGAAACTAGATTTAATTCTCTTTAAGTGCTCCTTATAGATTAATTACTTTATATTTTATACATTTATCTAATTTCCTTTCTGTTGTTATTTTCCATGTCTCCAGGATTTGACTTTTTGAAACAGTAAAAAACAAAAGAATACTTTGTAACAATGCTGTTCAACATCTTCAGTGGGTCCCATTCTAAATAGAGGGCACTGCTTTGTGAATGAGGCAAAAATAATTATATGACTTAACCAATAAAGGAAATTAGATTCTTGATTTTATATTTAATGTTCATGCTGTTATAATAAATTGCATTAAGTTCATATTTATCCATTAAGTTGTTATATTTTCCTCAAGTGAATTAGGATTTCTAAAGGTTTATAATTTTCTCACAAGTAATCCTTAGGAAAAATAAATCTGAATATTAAGTTTAAGCTGCAGGAAACTTCTGTTATTCTTGTTTGTACTTTGTTGTCAGTTAACAGCTCTAATCCATAAGCGTATTTTTTTCCTGCATTAGAAAAACAACAAGTTACAAAAGTGCTAAATGCACTATAAAAACAAAATAATTTAAAGGAGTTTGAATGTAATTGTCTGTTTTTAGGTAATCATAGTCGGTTAGATATTGAACAGCTACTTACAAATAAAACAGAATTCACTACCTTCTAACTTACATAGTTTGAAAAGAAATCAGAATATTAATTATTTCATTTTCTATTTGAGTGTTCTCTTTGGTTCTGTAGTCAACAGAGCTCTCAAAATCTATTCATGTAATGCAAACATGAGTGATTTTTCATAAAACCATAACAACAATAGTGAACAGAATAAAGGGCTTATTTCAATAAGAGCACTTGTAGCCATTTGATAAATAATTTGTTTCTGTTGAAAATCTTTATGGCATTATTTACGTAACAAGAGACAGGCAATATTAATGACTGGGGCATGATGGAATTAGGAAACACAGGAAGAGGTTCTTTCTTATATTCTTCCACTTTACTCCTTCAGTGTCAATCCTGTAAATTTAATGGGGTAGCATTTGAAGTAGAAAAGGAAAGCTAAATCATTGTGAGATGAAATAGATTGTCATAAACAACTTGTTTTCTAAATGGTGATAAATCAAGATGCAACTTTAAACAAAAACAACAAAAAGAATATTAGAATTGGATTTGTTTAATTACTGGCAAAATGCTTTTTGAAGGAATAGGTGAAGATGTGCTTACTCATTTCCATGAGACCCAGATGCTGCTTATGTGTGGGATAATCCAGAATCAAACAGTCAAGCCCATAGAACCAATGAGGCAGATATCTCCTGAATTCTTCGCTTAAAAAAATGAGGATGGCTGCGTGCAGTGGCTCATGCCTGTAATCCCAGCACTTTGGGAGGCCGAGGCAGGCAGATCACAAGGTCAGGAGTTCGAGACCAGCCTGGCCAACATGGTGAAACCCCGTCTCTACCAAAAATACAAAAAATTAGTCGGGAGTGGTGGTGCGCACCTGTAATCCCAGCTACTTGGGAGGCTGAGGCAGGAGAATTGCTTGAACCTGGGAGGCGGAGGTTGCAGTAAACTGAGGTAGCGCCACTGCACTCCAGCGTGGGTGACAGAGCGAGCCTCCATCTCAAAAACAACAACAACAACAAAAAAAAACAACTTTCAAATGAGCCTAACCTGTTTAAGCATGAAAACTGTTTCCATTTGGTTTTCCTTAGTGGGCTTCTTATTTTATGTTCTTTATGTGGAAAACAAGAATCTGAGAAGACTTGAAGTTTAGGGAGGGTTTGTAAGTCCTGTCTGCTTGCCATGGACTTCTGTTAAAAGCATTAGCTTCAGCTTGAACCAGTGCTAAGTCAGGAAGTACAGATATCAAACATACTATGTATGGTAATATGCACAGATCTGTCTTCAAGACATATTCATTTGTGCCATCTCAACGTTGTGAATACATGTGAGTGGAATTGAGTCTCGTGCCCTCAACTTTTAGGACAATTTTTGAAAGACAGTAGAGATTACATATTGGAAAATGTATTTGATGGGATATATTATTTATACCCAGCCACAAAGTTCAGTGAACTCCAAATTGACCCCTAGAACAATCTTCTACTCCTCTCCCCGCTGTCCTAATATGATATGTTTTCAAGATCTCCAGTACCTTTAAATATGTCTGTGTGATGGGATTGGCTAGGAAGCAGAAAGCACAGAACCAATTACTCATACTGTTTCCTTTGAGGATTAGACAAAATGACATTATATAATTTTTCCCTCTGTCTCTGGTGTCAGTGACCTTGAAATGATTTTGTCTGTACTATAAAAAGAGCAATATCCTCTGGGAACATCTGAGTTTTTCCTCTTCTCTCCACGTGAGGGACCTCTTGGGCGGATTCCCAAAAGATCTTTAATTTTGATTTTGTTAAACAATTTAAATTCTCAGATTTATTTGAAACTGTTTTGAACAGACTCTTCTCATATGAAACTCTTTTTTTGGATTCTCACAGCGTATTCCATCAGGTGGGGATGGTGAGACACTGAAATTTTTTGGCCAGTCTATCCACGGAGAAATGGATTTAAATGGTGACGGTCTGACAGATGTGACTATTGGGGGCCTTGGTGGTGCTGCCCTCTTCTGGTAAGTATTTTAATAACATCCTGTTAATCTGAGACTGGGTCACCCATAACTTGCCGAGCTCCCGGTGTGATTGGAGCTCGTATCATACCAAATATCTATTTCCTTTTGTGTTCCACTATGCAGATACAAGTTATTCAGCTGAGTGAGCTGAAAGAGTCAATATATCTTAAAAACAAAGAAGCTATATGAAAGAAACAAGTAGAATGAACTCTTAATTTGGTGTGTCTATTATGTGGTTTACACTAAAATAGGTATTCTGTTTTAGGAGAGGTATAGGGGAAGAGAAGATCTTACAGAGGATGTATATAAACAATAAACCATCCCTAATATTGGGTTGCTTACAAGGTTTTAGAGATAATCGACTTTTTATTCATTGGCCTGATACATAGAAACAGATAATCCAGCAGCACTCTCTAACTCTGTTTGTATTGTTGTCAAGCCTAGAGGCATCTTAAGTAATATCTTTGCTCAGCTGTTAAAATGCCCGCATCCCCCAATTTGCCCAGTTTTTTCAGATACATACATTCATAATGCTTTATTTATTAAGCATAAAATAATAATTTAGTAAGCAATAACGTTAATAACCATAGCTTTAACCAGCTAAAATATCCTATTTCAAAAACTGTTCTGTTTGAAAAAAAATTACTAGGAAGTCAAGAATCAACTTAATGAGAAACCCACATGATAATTTTGAAAAATATAATAAATTTCATTAAGAAATATAAAGGAAGAGTTTCATAAGTAAAATGTCTATTCCAAGTGACCTTATGAGAAGTCCGCATGTTGATTCTCCTAAATTAATGCATTGGTTTACTGTAATTCAGGTGGAAACATACCTCAATTCTCTTTTTCCCAAAAATTTACCTAGAAGACTAGTAAACAGTGAAAGAAAGATGAAGATAGAGAGGTGAAAATAAATGACTTTGCTGTAATTTAACATAATGCTTAAGAACTAATGGTCAAATTAGAATGGTACAGTAAATTGTGCACATACAATAATCACTATGTTAAAAAAAAAACTTTACAGTAGAGGGGAAAGAAGACTGAGGGGTGATACCTAAGAAAAGGGAATATTAGGCAGCCGAGTGGCTGGGACTTTGGGGAGGACTCGCCAGAAACCAAGGTTCAAAACCAGAAGTCAGCAGTGTCAGAGACAATGTATATATTTCAATTTTGTTTGAACTGTTAATCCTGAATTAGTTTATTATGCTCCCTTTAGCTCACAAATATTTATTTTATTAATTCTCATATTAAAAATATGTTTTCAGGATTTTTATGCTCCAGTTTTGTTTCAAGGCCTTCTTGCAAAGCTTTGCAAACTTATTTATGGCCTCTCCTGTCCCAAATCAAGGCATTGATGGGCCAAAATGATGGTCATTTCTCTAGCATAGTCCAGGCTCCACTGACAGCAGAATGGACCAAACCAATAAACTGGGACACAAAGACTAAGATTCACAATGCCTAACAAGAAGTGAGAGTGTATACAAATGACAGGCAATAGGAAGAACATTTGGAAGCAAATAGTGAGGGTCTTGTCATGAGACCTGGACTAACCCCCAAGAAAGATGTGGCTGGGGCAGAGAGGATGTGTGGGGTAGATAATGGTCAAGACAGCTTCATGCCTGGAGAATCCTTATTACTAAGCAGGAAACTAGGCATGTTCATTCGTTGCTGATGAAAGGGTAAACTGGTTGAAACTCATTAGAAGGTCTTTATCAATAAGTATTTAAAAGCATTCCAATGTTCCTACTTTTTACCAAGGATTTAATTTCCTCAAAATGTAAAGATACAATCTAGAAGTACGATTGAAGATGTCATCACAGCACTGTATGTAATACTATCTTTTAATAATGTTAAATTTACCACTATACTCAGAAAACATTTTTTTAAATTAAGCTAAATATCCAATAAGAGGGGACTGAATGCATAGATTATGGTATGTGCATATGCTGGTATAGTCTATTCCCATTAAAAATAATAACTTCCATTAAAAATCATATTCTCAGAAAAATGTAAATATTGGAAAGTTGTTCACTGTAATATAATGGTTTAAAAATATGTATGCATACATATGAAGATGTGCTTTTGTACATATATATATGGATGCATGTGTATATGTATATGCACATTTTCTTCTGTAAAGAAAAAACCACCAAGTGTACTAAATGTTAATGGTGATTATTGCTGAGTGGTAGTATTACAAGTTATTTGTGTTTTCTTTATGCATTTCTATGATGTTTATATTTTCTATGAGTACACTGTTTTAACAGAAAAAAGAAAACCACCATTTTTTAAAGCAAAAGCATAAGTACTGACTTCATTATTCACAAGATACGTAGTTACAAGGGGCTAGCTCTGGCCACAAGGCAGAAACCAGGTAAAAATGTGCAATAATTGTTCTAGCTTGGATATAAGACAATGGCCTCAGGAGCCATATATTCCCCATGTCTAAGATCTTACTCTGATCTCATTTTGGATTAGTAGACATCATTGGGCTTTAGAGTTAAAACGATTGAGTTTAAAATCCCAGGTTTTTCCTCTTAATAGCTTTTGACCTGGTGTAAAATATTTAACCTTTCAGAGCCCCAGTTATCAAACATAAAACAGAAATAATGTTTCTTATAATTAATCTTAAGAATTCAATGAAATAACATCCATGTCTAGCACACTGCCTCAAATGTTATTTTGCTTTTCCTTCCTAGAAATAGAGGAAGAGCTGAACTCACAAGGACTGACAATATTACAGTCCAGATGAGAGAGAGCAGGGGCCTACGAGCTACTCAGGGACCTTTAGACGTCTTTCAAATTGGGAACAAACTCGTAAATCCCCAAACTACAGTTGATTCTGGGGTTTCACCTGGTCACTTGGTTCCATCTCTTTTCCATCACAGGCAAAACTAGATCTTTGGCGTTTGAACCAAAAGCCCCAAATGGTTTCCAAATATAACCTGCATGTCTTAGAACATCAGATATAATCTTTTCTGTCACAAGGATTAATTAAATAAACGGAGTCCTGAGTGCTGTATTATACACGAAGCAGACCCCCTTCCATGCCCTCACTTTGCACACCCAAGTTGATAACATTCATTAAATGTAAAAATGTGTGAGTAATCCCATTGTTTTTGTTTGGAGGTCCCGAGATGTGGCCGTAGTTAAAGTGACCATGAACTTTGAACCAAATAAAGTGAATATTCAAAAGAAAAACTGCCATATGGAGGGAAAGGAAACAGTATGCATAAATGCTACAGTGTGTTTTGATGTGAAATTAAAATCTAAAGAAGACACGATTTATGAAGCTGGTAAGCAAAATAATTATAGCAAGTACTTTTGGGTAGAGGACGATGTATTTGCTCCAGAATGATGAAATCCAGCAGGATATTGCATTTTCCCCACCATGGTGAGCTGCACATCATATTTGCCCCAGTGAACATGTAGAACCTTGAAAAAAAAATTCTGCTGCAAAAGGAATAGGTTATGGAACCCAGTCAATTCTGGAGCAGAAATTACATGTTTGTATGCAGCGCCCTCAACACTGCATAGTGTCTGTCTGGCTCTCCTACTTACTATGTACAATCAGAGGCTTAAGAAAAAAAATACCGATTCAGAGATAGAGTTTAAAAATTGGGTCCCAAATGGGCCCAGTTTTCCTTCCTGTGGGATTCTGCAAATAATCTTCTCTCCCTTCTCTTGCCCCCTCCTGGGAAAGACTGGTATTGCAGAGAACCCGAATACTTCACCATTCCCACATTTCTGAGATCCTTTGCTCCACTGAGGGGACCCTAGTTTCTGAGAGTCAGACTTGCTGTGTGTGTTTGTTCTCAGGTGCATCAGGTCAGCCTGTACTTCCTCGTCCTCCCTTTGTTCTCCACTTTCTAAGGCAGGTTTTTAATGATGTTGAAATATGCTCGAATCAAAGCTATAAAGACCATTGACTGCAGAAGAAAAATTTACTCTGTAACCAAATATAAGCAGAATGAGAAAAACCATTAATCCTTAAAATCTGTTTTCCTTGATTTGTTCCATATGTGCATGTATATGCTCTGAAATAGCCTCCTAACTAGAAAGATCAATGAGGTATAGGAATATAAAGTAATGACTTTTGCATTTTATATGTAACTTTGTTTCAGTCTTACTTAATTTTTGCAAAGTAACTAAGTGATCAAATAAGGATTATTGTAGCCTTCATATAAAGTGTAAGATTTCACTTATTTTCTTTATTGTAGTATGCTTATTTTATTGAACCTTAATAGTGGCTTGAACATAAGCTGAGATAATATCTTTTTATATATAAATAGATTAAAATGTATATATTTGTAAACAAGTAACTAATGTATATTTTTGCCTCTATTGAAATATAACATAATCAATATTCTAACAGGGTTCCAACATTTCTAAAGTTAAAAGGAATATTTCAAGTGAATATATAATAATTACTGTGGTGGTCTGGAAATTAGATGATAGGCAGATGTGCATGTGTGTATATGTGTGTGTATAAGAATTATAAACAATAAATGTAGTTAAACACTGAAAGCACAGTGAACTCAGAGAGCAGTTCTATAGAGTTCCTCAAGGTTATCTTTATGACTGCTAATACCATTGTTATTATAGTGTGGATATGCTGAACAACAGAATCTTTTTCGATTGATTGCCGAAGAGATTTTCCTATAATGCTAATTTAATAATCTGTACAATATGAGAATCACTTCAAATAAACATTTCCATCAATTATTTTTTAAAATTTTTGTAGATTTGCAGTATCGTGTCACCCTAGATTCACTAAGGCAAATATCACGAAGTTTTTTCTCTGGAACTCAAGAGAGAAAAGTTCAAAGGAACATCACAGTTCGAAAATCAGAATGCACTAAGCACTCCTTCTACATGTTGGCAAGTAAATCATATATCGTAGCTGCCTTATTCCAAATCAATAATATAGTAGAGATGTCTTATTTCAAGTCAATCGAATTCTTACTGTTTTATTTCAAAATGCACTTATGATGTCATAAAGGAAATTTTATCTTGTTTGTTCATTTTTATCATAAAATCGCAAGTCTAATTTTCTCATTTCCAACTATTTGTAAAACTATCTCTAGTCTTCCCTGTCTGCGTTATGACATCCATATAGTATGGAACGGCAGAAAAAGACACAGTGTTCTAGTTGACAAGAAACCTTACTCGTGTCTTCATTTCTTTCATTCATTCATTTATTCCTTCAACTTCAAAACACTGAATTTCTGTGGGCTTTGTCTGTCAGTTGTGGGTGATAAGTGAATGACTGCTCTGGGGGACAGACTGCTGGGCTGTACGCTTTCTGGGATTCATGTAACTATATATCTCGCTGTTTGACTTTAGAGCAAAGGGGAAAATTATCTGCTATTTTCTATCATCTGTAGGCTTTGTGCTACTCCGGGTTTTTTCGTTTTGTTTTGTTTTTTGTTGTAATTTTAGTGGATGAGGGAGGTTTGGAAAGCAAACTATTAATCTTGAGAGATGGCTGGTAAGCCAGTGTGAACCATTTAAAATGTGTTTTGTTGGGACATTGTGTAGATGGGGAATGTTCCCAACAGAGGGCAGGAGTTTCCTCAACATTTTCTTAAAGTGTACATGAGAGTGATAAAATTAAGAAGCAGCATGAAGGTAATGAGGAAACTGATTTTAGTAACTGACATTAAGACTTAGAGGCTTGATGGTGATCTTGGAGCTTTAAAGGAATCAGGCCAATTTTCCCACTTCTGACTTATTTCTGTATTACTGATATATTCATAGTCTGTATTCTGAAAATTGTAGTTAGGGGCAGGGGAGTGACAGAAAATGTGCATCCTTTTGTGCCACATTTGTTCTTCCTCAGTGATTTTCATGTTGATACGCTTCATGATACTTATCATGAAGCTTATTCTGTCAGCACCGGATCAATCTATTATTTGATAAAGTAACACTGGAGTTGCCTCTCCTATTTAGTTCACCAGAACTGAACACTTAGGAATTCGAATGTGGATAAAATTTGAAGGGATATGAAACCAGATATGGCATTGCCTCCAACCTGCTAAAAATCATCTCAGTCTATGTTTGTCCACAAATTCAGTGTCTAAGCTCTGTCTAGGCACTGGTGTTTAAAGGACTGAAATATTTTCAACATTTCCAAAATTGTTTTGGAGTTTGGAATAAGCGCTTTGAAATTTGTTCTGGAGTCAGCCAGTGTCGAATTTGTATCCCAAATGTTCCACATTCTGAGAGACTTTGGCAAAGTTGTTTGTTCTCTTAGAGGCTCAGTCTTTCATCTATAAAATAAGGACAATAATAGTTACTCATCTTAGAGGACTGTTGAAATAATTTGCAATAATGTATATAAAGCTCATAATTTTGAATACTACAAATGATTATTGTTATTGGTGGCATGTTAATAATATTAATCATATTCACATCCTTTCCAAATAATTTTACATTATAAAGGTCTTGGCTGGGCTGGGTGCACTGGCTCACGCCTGTAACCAGCACCTTTGGGAGGCCGTGTGTGAGTGGATCACCTGAGGTCAGGAGTTCGAGACCAGCCTGGCCAACATGGTGAAACTCCATCTATACTAAAAACACAAAAAT